TTGAAGAACACGCCATGGCATCAGGCCACCAGTCGCTCGTAAAGGAAGCAGCTAAGTACGCTGAAGAACTCAACATCACCCTTCAGCTTGATACCCTAAATCCCGTGTGTGTTACAACAGATGGAAAGGTGGTAACTGCAGCAAGAGCTGGGAATCTGTTGAAGCAATCTCAAGAGAAGCAGTTCTTGGAGAGCGCTAAAGACAAAAAGTGGCAAGGAAAGTTATTCCGTATCAGATGGGAAGATGAGACCCTAAGCATAGCCAGCTGCTTTGCATGGTTAAAAGGTTGGGCTACATGCCCTACACATACCATCGCGGGCATGTATGAACTGTATGAGCAGTTGTTACCTACGAAGCTCTACACAAAGGAGAAGACGCAAACCTCCACCGACGGCGAAGTTCTATGCAGGTTATGTGGGAAGGTAGCTGAGAGCGTTGCACATGTACTGGCTGGATGTTCCTTCCTGGCACAAACCAAGTACCTATACAGGCATAATGCAGCTTTGAAGATTCTGTTTTTTGAGCTCCTGCGAGAGCATGGGTTAATGGAAGAGGTTCCACCATGGTACTCACCGGTGATGCCAAAACCAGCCTACCAGAACACCACGAGTGAGGCGTTTTGGGATATTCCCATCTATGCAGAGCACAACGAAGTTAGAGCAAATCGGATCGACGCGCGACTTGTCAACCACGAGAGGAAAGAAGTCTGCACAATTGAAATGAGCTGCCCATGGATTGAGAGTAGAGCTAAGAAAGATGAGGAAAAGACACTCAAGTATGGGCCCATGATGTGGGAGCTGAAGCAGAGATACAATGGTTACAGGGTTGAACAGTACAACGTAATAATTGACGTACTAGGGGGTTACTCTAAACACCTAGAGAAGTCGGTGAGGAAGCTACTTGGAGCGAGAGCACGGAGCGTACTTCAGCGAATGCAGAAGTCGGTCATCTCAAACACTTTAAACATTGCCAGAACATTTAAGATAAATACTTAGTTAGAGCGCTATGGGCTTCAGTTTTTAGGTTTTTGTTTTTTCTCTAGAAATCTAGAAACACAAGCTTGCTGACGTTTTTATTTAGATTTTTTAGAACATTAGAGTGTGATATTATTATAAATATGTTTTTAGTAGAGATAGCGAAGGTTTTACAGAGTATCAGAATTTAATAATATTCTAAATTGACTTTTTAAGTAGAGAGATTTATATCACTATGTATAAGCTTTTAGTAGAGATAGCGAAGGTTTTACAGAGTATCAGAATTTAATAATATTCTAAATTGGCTTTTTAAGTAGAGAGATTCATATCACTATGTATTTTAGGATTGTATTAGGTTTCGTATCGACCTTTTTTTACTTCTAAGTATAGCTTCTCAAGTGGTGTAGGTTACGCTATGCGCCCTATACTACTCATAATGTGGACAGCATTCCAAAGTTTCATACTGCGACATAATAATAAAACAATAGATAGAACCAATTTTTGCAAAAAATTATAATAACAAAATAAATAACATAACATAACATAAAAACGAAAAATAAAGAAAGAAAGAAAGAAAGAAGGAAAAAGAAACTGGTATCATTTCCGAGTATGAGAAAACAATATTTTGTCGCAATCAACTTTTTGGGCGAGTGAGGGTCCATTCAAATGACAGTAATGAGTGAAGGCTTGCTTCTAAATTCAAAATATATTAAAATGGGTCGCGAGGAGGGGGTTTTCAAGCTTTCCTCACACAGCCACCTCTTGTAAATGTTTGCCATGCGGTTTAACGGTTATCAATTTACGCCTTTGCGACCGTAAGAAGAGCTTAGGGGCTCGTCGCTTTGGACTTGGATAATAAAATTAAACATTCACATTCGCCGCAGAATAGTTGCAGTGGCAGTGGTAGCGCAGCGGTAGTTTCTAACTGTTATCAGTTAGCCTGAATTTTACTCGTCTCCCCGCAAACTCCTCTTGCGACTCGAGGAGACGTCTGAAATATCATGCTGACTGTAAACAGTATAGAAACTTCTACGAATGTGAGTACTGTCCACTAAAATCCAAAGACAGGAGCCCCTATACTCTTCTTAAGTTTACAGAGCCCCCTAGTCTGTAAGTAATTCATGTCAGCTTCAAGTGAAGCAAATTTCGGTTATATACTAGGAGACTATATGTTGGCTTGACATGAGGTACTTACCGACTTGGCTTGACATGAAATACTGCACTGACATTTCAGACCATCGCAGAACCGTAAATGGATAACCGCCAAATGATTAACTCATGGCAAACAATTACAAGAGGTGGTTGTGTGAGGAAAGCTTGAAAACCCCCTCCTCGCGACCCATTTTAATATATTTTGAATTTAGAAGCAAGCCTTCTCTCATTACTGTCATTTGCATCAACCCTCACTCGCCCAACAAATTTTACTTTGTTGCGACAAAATAGTAAGTAAGTAAGTAAGTAAAGACTTTATTTTATGAGGGTTGGCACGAAATAGCCGAGACTAATAAACTTGTGGCCCTCTAAATAATAAATAATAAAATAATAAATGAGTATACTAAGCTTTTAAAATATACAAGATTAAAACCAATTAAGAATACAGGTACTATAGAATCTACTAAATTATTTAAAAGATAAAATATAGCGTTATAATAATCTCACAGTTCATCAGGTAACTTAAATAGAAAAATGATCAAGATTCTGCTGTTGTTTAAAAAATTCATTCCACAATGCTTTTTTTAAAGAGTCAACTGAGTCCCTTTGCCTTACAGGCAAAGATAAGCTGTTCCACGCTTTGCAAGTTGTTACGGTAAAAGTTCTGCCTCCTTCTGTTTCGCGATTATACCTCGGAGAGGTTAGGTTAAAATTACAGTACCTGGTTTTTCTAGTGTGGATGTTACTGTTTAATTTAAGTAGATCGTTGAGATAAACAGGGACGTCACCTTGTAATCGCTTATAAGCAATGATACATTTGGATATGAAAGCGTCTGTATAATAAGGCAACCATTTCAGCCGATTAAACAAGGGAACTGATGGTGCTTGAGGGGGGGCATTCAGGATTACTCTAGCTGCTCGTTTTTGGAGCTTCAGGACCCGCCCAAGGCTTTCCTTATCACAATTAGTCCAAAGGACGCTTGCATAATTAATCACTGGCCTGATCAAAGCATTGTAATAAAGTAATCTTTGTTTAAGGGGCAGATAATTCATAATTTTCTTTAACAAGCCGATGCGCTGTGAAACTTTCTTACAAACAGTCGTAATATGCTCAGAGAAAGATAGCTCTTCATCAATCTCAAGACCTAGTAGCTTAACCTTCATAACGTTAGTTAATAAACTGCCATTGCAAGTAATCTCAGGGTTTTTGTTTATTTTGGTCGAGAGTCGCTTTCCCTTCACGGTGAGGACCTTGGTCTTTTTTTCGTTGAGTGGAAGCCTGTTGGCCAAAGCCCAGTTAAAAACTTCTGATACAGATGTATTAAGAGATTCCTGCAGTCTTCCCATCCTGCCACAATCTGCTGACGATGTGATTGTAGTATCGTCTGCATAAAGATCGATTTCAGAGGAGCTGACATGAAGTGGCAGGTCATTAATAAAAACTGTGAAAAACAAGGGGCCGAGTATACTGCCCTGGGGGATCCCATGTTTCATAAGCGCCACTTCTGAGACGCAACCACCCAAATGGACAAGCTGGTGTCTGTCCGCCAAATAAGACTGGAACCACTTCATTGTTTCGCCAGCAACACCATATACTTTCAGCTTATCCAGAAGAAGACCATGATCTACCATGTCAAAGGCTTTACAGTAGTCTACTAGCACCACGCCACTAACTCTATTCTTATCTAAATTGAAGAGCAATTCGTCAATTATCTGTATGAGAGCGGTGTCTGTACTGTGATTCTTCCGAAAACCAGACTGGCGAGGATAAATCAGATTGTTTTCAGTTAGATAACTGTATAAGGAGTCATGCACATGTCTCTCGATAACTTTAGAAAATATTGTTTTCTCATACTCAGAGAGGATACCGGTTTCTTTTTCTTGATTATTTCATTATTTTTCGGTTTTTTTTTGTTATTTTACGTTCTTATTAATTTTTACAAAAATTATTTCATTATTATTATTTTATAACATTTTTTTTTCTTGAAAAATATTTTAATTTTTTCATGTTCCGGGATGTTCCGGAATGTTCCGGAATGTTCCGGGATGTTCCATGTTCCTGGTTTTATCGACGCCCGACTTTTTGCTGTTAAACGCTTCAAAATTGAAAAATCCTCGATGACTGTTGTTGATTTTGCCGTAAGTAATTCAATGCACTGACTTAAAACGAATTTTTACCTTTTACAAACTTTACGGTTCGATTACATTTTGTCGCGGGTTTTGGATAATATTATAAACCTTAAAATTTATGGGCAAATTCGACGAAAAAGCACTCTCACTTACATTCGTCATTTAAGATATTGATTTTAGCAAAGTATAAGGCAAAATTAAGAGCGATACGTTCTTTAAGAACGCTATAACTACATATTTAATGGCCAAACCTAAACAGCAATCTAATCCGTCTCTTGAAAACAACTACAACGTGATACCGCTTCTGATAATAATATTTATAAACGCTGCAAACATTTTTATTCAATCTTATCGAGTGATTTTCGTAAAGATGAGTTTTTAAGTGAAGAATACTTTGGTTTCTGATTAGCTTTAACTGTTTTGCCATCGAAACAAATTGCACGAGACTACCGGGGTTTTATGTTAGTGCACGAGGAAGAAAAATGCTTCTCTTTGCATAAACATTTTCTTCTTTGTAGCAATGACAAAGACATTCCAACACTTAAAACAATGGCAACCTACATCTATTGTTTCTGCATTGTCTCTTGAAAGTGTGGGAATAGTTAACCGCTATGAAGTTCATAAGAGACCGAAAACGACGGTAGTCTTTGAAACCTCGTTTTTGCTCGCAAAGCCAAATGGGTACCCCACTTTTCACGGGCGACGTTTTTCAATGGGCACGTTTCTGTAATGCGAAATCATAAAATGGAGGCTTTCACGTTGTGTAAGGGATTATTGAATCCGAAAACCTTCAACAAGTTCAGTTTTATAGTAAATGTTCTTTGGATTCTAGCTGGGATCACATTGTTTGCAGTGTTAATCAAAGAATCGAGGTCTGACTTCCGCTGTGATGTGAACAATGCTAAAGTCGACAAGGACTTCGTCACTCAGAAGTGTTTCGTGGAATACGAAAAGCTATACAACAAGCTGTCTGTTCCTCTTTACGGTTTTGTGATTGCTAACTTCTCTTTTCCTTTTATTGTTTGCGTGATATATTCAATATGGGCGACGCCAAGAGTAAAGAAACTTGAAAGCAGAAATATAGATGCTAACACAACTCAAAGAAAACTCTTTACAACGTACTGTTGTCAACTTGCCACTAGATTTTGTGTCGGGATTGTTTTTATCCTCCTTCTATTAAGTGAAGTCTTTTATCCTCGTGAATTTCCGTTAAACTTCAAGTGTAACTTCATGAGAGAAGTCAATCAATCAGCAAATACGACTGGGACAGCACAAACTCCAACTTATGAATGCAACAATAAGCGAGCTCATCCGAAAACCTTTTGGATGTATGCCGTAAGTGGGGCGAATGGAATTCTTGCAGCTCTTCTTTTATTTGAGTGTTTTGTTATTTTGTCTCGGGCAAGAAAATGGGGAAAACACTTCATGAATGACTTACAGTTCTATACTGATCATCTTACATCTACCGGCAATTACAATCCCCTGGAAGAACGGGTGCAGCTTGAGGAACGATTACACGGAGAATGTTCAGCTCAGTTGGAAACTTCTATCAAGTCCATGAAGGAAAGTGTCTTAAAGAATACCGATCGACTTAGAGACCTCTCGTCACCCTTGAAACCGAACCCGGGTGAAGGCGATAAACCTAAAGATTTTAAACTCGACCAAATTTACACTAATTTAATTTTTCATCCTGGAAGAGCCGATTATCACTTTCCTGAAAACCGACGGGAACAGCTAAAAATGTACCCCAAACCAGAGAGAAAATTACCACCAAAGAGACCCGGAGATATTGTTGATGATCTGCACAAGAATATTCTAATCGTTGGTCGCCCTGGAATCGGCAAAACATTGTTTTGCACGAAGTTTTTACGTCTTTGGGCAAGCGACCGCTTATTCGAGGAAGCGCAAAATCCAGAATTACGATTTGACGTTGCTTTCCTCGTTAAATTTAGGAGACTGAACTTTACTGCTAAGCTTAACCTACGAGAACTATTGGATTACTCAGAATTTTCAACAGATATGACTGATGAGGTATGGCACTACATTCGTGAAAACCCAAGCAAAGTACTTTTTGTTTTCGATGGAATTGACGAATACTCTGCAAGGAAAAAGATACAAGAAGATGACTCTATTTATAGAGACACCGTGGAAGAAAAAATGCCTTTACATGCATTGTACACGAAGATTACGTCGGGAAAACTTCTTGATGGAGCCACTGTTTTAACGACTACAAGACCTACTGCTGTATCATGCGTAAGAGACCCTGACCCTAGCAGAGTAATTGAAATTCTTGGATTTTCATCAGGGCAAGTGAAAAACTACGTGGAGAAGTACACAGGCGATGACAAAGATGCAGGAGCAACGATATGGCAACATATCAGCAACAACCTTAACCTCTTTTCGCTGTGTTATATTCCTGTCAACTGTTTCATCATTTGTTCGTGCCTGCTATACATCCTAAAGACCCAATTAACTTCATATTCCGCTGATGCTTTTGCAAGGTTACCAACTAAACTCACTCATATACAATGTATACAGCTGCGCCGTAAAGCTTATATTCTTCAGGCACAGTAACAGATACCGTAATAAAACTGTTGGCCAGGACGAAATTACGACACCATTCGAAGAGCTGCCTGAAGATGTGAAAGGGGATTTTAAGAAGCTGGGAACAATTGCTTTTAAAGGAATTAAAGAAGGAAGATTAACCTTTGAATCAGAAGAAGTTGCGAACCTAGAGGATTGTGGCCTACTTCATCGCTTGCCTGATTTAAAACCAGGGGCGAAGCGACCTCTCGAAAACCCAAAGCTCAATACTGCTTCCAGCATCTGACCATACAAGAATTTTTCGCAGCAAAGCATGTGACAGACAACATGGGAGAAGTAGAACTGCGAGAATTTGTTTCAAGTCACATCACGGACGGTGCATGGCAAGTAGTGTTGCAGTTTGTGGCTGGGCTTCTCAGTGACCGAGAAAAACCACTGACCGATATTTTCACGAACCTTCTGCCAGTGTCGACGTATGAGGAAGAAGAACAGGAACTGGACCCGAGCATAGTAACCTGTTGGCCAAGTAAGGAAGACGCACAATTAGCGTTAACGTTATGTCACTGTTTATATGAGATCGATGCAGATGATTCAGCCGTACAAAACAAAGTAAGAGAGATTGATTTCAACGCTGTAGTGTTAAAGTACTGTCAACTAGAACCTGTTGATTGTACTGCAATAGTCAATTTTCTTAAAAAGCATAACGAAATTTTAATGATTAACTTGAGTGGTAACAAGATTGGCTGCCTCGGTTGCAAAGAAATAAGCGAGTTTTTAGAGTCTTCTACGAGTGTCAGTGATGGTAACTGCAAACTTAGCAGCTTAAACCTCAATCATAGCTTAGTAACAGATGAAGGAGTAAAGTATTTGGCTAAAGCTTTGAAGCACAATAATTGCAAACTAGACAGCTTAAACCTCGCCGATAACGAATTAACTAATGAAGGAGTACAGTGTTTGGCTGAAGCTTTGTAGGATAGTAATTGCACACTTAGCAGCTTAAACCTCGCCGGTAACGAGTCAGTTACCGATGAAGGAGTAAAGTATTTGGCTGAAGCATTGAAAGATTGCAAACTAAACAGCTTAATCCTCTCGAAAAACAATGTAACCGATGAAGGAGTAAAGTATTTGGCTGAAGCTTTGAAGGATAGTAATTGCAAACTAAAAACCTTAAACCTCGCCGGAAACGAATTTACTGATGAAGGAGTAAAGAATTTGGCTGAAGCTTTGAAGGATAGTAATTGCAAACTAAACAGCTTAAACCTCACCGGTAACGAATTTACCGATGAAGGAGTAAAGTATTTGGCTGAAGCTTTGAAGGAAGGCGATTGCGAATTAGAAAGCTTAGACCTCGCCTGTAATAAATTAACCGATGAAGGAGTAAAGTATTTGGCTGAAGCTTTAAAGCACAGTTGCAAACTAAAAAGCTTAATCCTCTGGCAAAACAATGTAACCGAAGAAGGAGTCAAGAGTTTGGCTGAAGCTTTGAAGAATACTGATTGCAAACTCAACAGCTTAAAACTCGCCGGTAACGAATTTACCGATGAAGGAGTAAAGTATTTGGCTGAAGCTTTGAAGGACGGTGATTGCGAATTAGAAAGCTTAGACCTCGCCTGTAACAAATTAACCGATAAAGGAGTAAAGTGTTTGGCTGAAGCTTTAAAGGATTGCAAACTAAACAGCTTAATCCTCTGGCAAAACAATGTAACCGAAGAAGGAGTCAAGAGTTTGGCTGAAGCTTTGAAGAATACTGATTGCAAACTCAACAGCTTAAAACTCGCCGGTAACGAATTTACCGATGAGGGAGTAAAGTATTTGGCTGAAGCTTTGAAGGATAGTAATTGCCAACTTAACAGCATAGACCTCTGGCAAAACAATGTAACCGATGAAGGGGTAAAGTATTTGGCTGAAGCATTAAAGCACAATAATTGCAAACTAGAGAGCTTAAACCTCACCAATAACAAATTAAACGATGAAGGAGTGAAGTATTTGGCTGAGGCTTTGAAGGACGGTAATTGCAAATTACACAGCTTAGACCTCGCCTGTAACAAATTATCTGATGAAGGAGTAAAGTATGTGGCTGACACTTTGAAGGATAGTCATCAGGGTCACCCAACAGCTGTTTCCTGTAAAATATCTGTTCGGAGAAGCAAATACCTAGAATATTGAGGACGGCTACAAATGTCTAGATGATTATTGCATTGATGTACAAGTTTCGAGGCTTACCTAATAAATTCCCTACCATTTCCCTACCAGTTTAATTTTTAACATTTTGCTTCCCTGGTTACCGTAAATGATCGATTAAGCACCGCGGCGCCTATGTCGTTTTCCCTGTTATAGGTGCGGAGCTTAATCAATCATTTACGGTAAGCTATTTTTCGTGGAAAAAGGAGAACTTAAATTTTCGGATTCGAAAGTGTGGTGGAGAGAAGAATCAGAAAAATTCCAACTTTCGTAAAACGTTAAATTGCATCTAAAATTTTCGGGAAATAATACTGAAGCCGTTGTTGTTTGGAAAATACTCATATTTCCCCATGACTGTCACCGAACAGATACAAATTCTATAGCGCCCCTTATAATATATTTCTAGACATCTAAAAGTACTCTGGACACTCCGGCTAAAAGGCGTTGTCAATTTATTTAGGAGGAGACCGTCGTTGGATGCCCCTGAGTCATTGCAAAGTAAACAACTTGTACCTCCTTAGTAATCTAAGCGATCAAGGGAATCGTGTATGGTTGAAGCGCTCAGTATTTGCAATGTACGTTTATAAAAGTGAAACGTTATTATAACAGTGAAGAAGTATGTGAGGGGAACCAATTCGTTTAAGCCCTCTCTGACTTTAAACTTCATTAGTGAACAGGGTTGTGTTCGCAAAGAGCAAAAAGCTCGCATTCAAACAGCTTTACTGAGTTTTACTGACTTAAAACAGCGAGACAGAAGTAGACTAGTGCAATAATAGGACAATCAACAGGGAAGAGTAACTGTTGTAACGTTTTTATTACTTTCTGATAATTGCTGATTGATACACTACTGATAATTTTGTAGAGAAACTTTCATTAAGTTAACTGTAAAAATGTAGCTGTACATATTCAACGAATAGTATGAATGTTACATTAAATAAAATTAGATTTAATGGATTTGAGTGATACTGGATCAATAGTGAGAAAATTAAGTCACTTCTGGGGAGGAGGTGGGAGGGAAGAGTTGGCCACGTCTCAATACTCCATCATTTTGTGGTTGACATTCTTGCATTCATCGCCTTTTAAAATCAAATATAGTTTCTCTGTCACCAGCTATGATCTAGACGTTCTCTGTTTTCTACTGGCAGAATCCGTGGTCTTAACCTGCAGGGTATTCTGGGGTCCTGTATTCCACAGTATCCCGGAACTGTCAATCACACTAGAAGACACAGTCACGTGATAAATAGACTGTGTACTAAACTGGAGAAGGAACTGGGCACTAAAGTAATCATGGTGGGGAACCACTGTTTGTTCTAAGCTGGTCACGTGATCTCGAGAAGTCTGAAATAAAGAAAATACACCAAAATTTCAGAAATCTTTTACACTGCTGGTGTTGCAAGCACCAGAGAAACCAGTACAGAAACCGGTAAAGCGTGGCGTAACAGTCTTACGCGCGCAAAGCGCACGAGCTTCACACTCCCGTAAGGTCTCTCCCCAGTCTCGCTCTCGTTTTTAGCCTCGTTCCAGACCTTTTGTTTGACTGCTTGCGCGTAGGTACTTGAATACGCAAAAAATACGGACTGTTTTGCAGTCTACGCTCACTGAGTCTGAAGGGCCAAAAGCTACTGCTAAGAAACAAATACGAACCTTTCCATCTATGGGTTGTTGCTTTCTGTCCTCAGCGCGCCATGTTACTGACAAGCAAACAGACTGCACATCGCGGTAAAGTCCTATAAACAAGAAAAACAACACAAACTAAAATTAAATAGTGAAGGCAACTCCATAATCCAACTTTGAGTCCTTGTATTGTCAACAAGGGATTCGTTATGGCTTTGAGCTAAGACTTACAGCCACAGACCTGATCAAGGCGGATGATTTTGCACAATATGTCGTTAGCCAGTTCAGGAACGTGCAACTATAAAGTGGAATATCTACCACAGATTTCATATGAGAAAAACACTCGTAAAAAAATAGTTCGTGACATCGTAGTTGTTTTCCAAGTTCAAACCAAATGTAAAACCATTTGGGGAAAATTAAGTTACTAACATTACATCGGGTCATACTACAATACTGTCGTAAAAGTTTAAGTTTACACCTCTAACAAGACTCTGACCTAGCTTTTGACCGCGCTCTATGACTCCTTCCACCTTAAGAACAAATTGTGTATCCAGTGTGACCGAAATTGGTTCTGAAGGCGACCGAGGCGAAGGTGACAACGCCAGCTGTATGACAGAAGGAGAGACCACGATTAGCAAAAGTAATTGTTGTTCAAAACGTGAGGATGATTGGCAAATAAGAGTTACAGAAAGTAAACAGATTCAAGTTTTGTCACAAGAAAGGAATTTCTACCTAATGTTCATTCATTTCAAACATGTTGCGTCCTGTCTCTTACTGATTATAACTAATTTAAAAAAGATTCTTTTATACGGACCGCGAGACAAAACTAGCATCTTTTCCATTCCCGCGCCATTCCCACTAGATTTTCGCGCGTTTTCCATGGGTTACCTGTACCCGACTCCCGCCATTTTAACTGGTAATGTGCGAGTGCAACAGAAAAACTCCCACTAGTACCCACCAGTACCTTTCGGTTTTCTAGTAGTATCTGGCGAAGAGAATGTGTTTTCTAAACTGTTTAAAAATTATGTCGTGAACCAAAGATTACGACATCAAATAATGCAAGGTTGGTTCAGAAAAGCCAAATAATAAACACGGCAACTAGAAAACAAAATTCCACGACTTTTATAAAGCCAACAACATCAAGACTGTATACAGAGGAGGCTCTCCTAACAGACACCCTCGTAAGAGGACAGCTCTAGTCAAGGCCACCTTCACAAAACCCCGTTTTTCTAAACTCTCATACAAACTCTGTATTTTTACATTCCCGTAAGCGGCCAGCTCCAGGTACGGGCACCTTTTCCGCGTTACGAGGGTGTCCGCTAACGAGAGCTTCCGCTGTACAAGCAATCTAGGACTCAATGTAATAGATCCATGGAAAATTCTTGAGTACAAACCTTGATAAACGTGGCTTGCTGACTGGAGAAAAAGTGTTTCGGGAAAATAAACGGCACCTTCAGGAGAGTCATGGAAGCCCGAATAAGACATTCAGTTTGCTGAAAAACGATAAAATGTATAACCATAAATCAATATCATGACACTGACATTTCCCAAATTAACTAGGCTAAAAAAAAATCTGCCGCACTATTTATTTCGGACTTTCTTTTCTAACAGTAAGTGGCTGTTAGTATCCAAGTCAGTTACTCATCGATCCAGAAAAGAATTAACTTAAGAAAGTTTTCACACAATCATATATCAATCAATCAATCAATCAATCAATAATCTTTATTTATACACGATAAGTATTTAAAGCGACGCTTCGCTTGTGGGGTCGTGTCTAAATAATTAAATAAGATAACTAATGAATTAGAAAATAAATAGGATATACACCAGCTAAAATCATATAGCTACTTACAAGTCTAAAACGATAAAAGCTTAAGATTCTAAAGTACAAGGTGGTACTCTAGTATCGACTAATTATTAACACTAATTATACTTAAAATCTTCCTCCCTTCTGGTCAATGTTTGAGGGGAGATACAGTCGAAATCTAGGTGTAGCAGAGCCTTTGACCGTCTTGCCATAATCGCATATTTCTTAACATTGTCTATATCGTCATTAAGTTGAGGAACCAACGTGTTCCAAACTATTGCTCCTCTACGAGCTACAGAGTTCCTCATGTAGTTGGTGTTAAAACGAGGGACATCAATTTTCAGTTTCTTCCTAAGTTGATATCGCTTGATGTTATCATTGTTCTTAATAATAGCTGACATAGCGTCTGGAGTCAGGTTATTGTGGATTTTATACATAAACTTAGCTAAGCTAAGTTTATACATAAAGGCTAAAGAAGACCAATTAGCCTTTTTCATAACATCTGCATTAGATATCTCCCAAGGTAGCTCAAGGATAATTCTCGCAGCTCTACAATGCAGTGCTTCTAATGCCTTAAAACCTTCCTTATTTGCCTCCCCATACTGATATACCATATACGATCGACGGATTCCTTTACTGATAAAATTACTTCATTAGCAAGTGAAACCAGTGTACAAAAGTTAAAATAACTTCATTAATTTACTGTGTCTGCTCAGTGTTCAATACATTACATGGATATCATTAAATGATTCATCATTTTACCAAGTGGCAAACAGGGAGACCTTCCAGCTGAATTGCTAGCTCCTAAAGAGATAAGAAAAATTATACAGTAAAAAGTCAAATAAAAATATTTAACGTTTAGTGACTGTAGTTAGCTTGTAAAAAAAAAACTGGGGATACCTGGCCAGAAGCCTCTTCGTAAGGCGAGTGATACATGTTTTAAAGATGAAGGGGCTAGTTTTCATTTAAAGAAATTCTAGAGCTTCTTTCGTTGAAATAAACACTTTTTTATAGCTGAGTATTGTAAATTGTAAATATCTTATTATCCACTCCCCTCAGGGCTTTTCAGGGATAATTTACAACACTGGTTGGGGGACTTTGCCAGACTGCTTAAGGTGCAGTTTACAAGTAATGAAGGAATGAGTAATGATGCCCCCATACATGAGTGTGAAAGTGAGATAGACCACTACACCGGGCACTACGTGCCCTACTCTTTACGAAGAGTGTGTGGGTTCTTTAACGTCCCACAGATTTAATACATGTGCAAGGGCTTGTAAGACGGGGCCTACGGTTTATCGTCCTTATCCGAGAAGACTAGAAAGTCTAGCCGTTTGCAGATATTATTACAAAGGCAGCACTTTCTCCTCAGTTATTTAAAGACCCTGAGTGTTGGTCCGGCCGGGGTTTGAACCCGCGACCTCCCGCTCAGTAGACCGGCGCTCTCCCTGAGTATCGTTGGTGAGGTGTACTAATATAATACAATATAATACACAGTTTACAGGTTCCCCTTACAACTACTGAAGGAGGATCATGAGATTATCCCTATACTAAGATCTGTCCTTACAGATGGAACCCACCCACCCCAGGAAAGGTTGGCCACACCACCCGGGACTACGTCCCCTACTTTTTTTTCGAACAGTAGTGTGGGCCCGTTAACGTGCCAAAAAGGCGACCAGAACTGAAGAAGCTATCGTGAGCAGTTTATCTAACGATACGCAACCTGTGGGACTGGTGGAACGGAAAGGGAACGCGCGAGGAAGCAGGGAAGGAAACCTTCACGTACTCGCTTCTCGCGTGCCTTGGCTTAATTTCCCCTCTTCCCCTTAAGCGCCAATGGAATTAGTCTGAAATGTCATACGTCTCCACCCGCTTACCCGTGGAGGTTGCGGGGAGAGAGATCTCCACGGGTTAGGGGATGGAGACGTATGACATTTCAGACTACAACGCCAATAAAAGAGACGTCGATATATTTGTTAGTCATAGTCCATTAACATTTGAAGTCAATGACAAACCTCTACTGTTTGTAGAATTTCTGTGCACGCCAGGGAAAGTGGACTACGTCTAAACGTGGAAGACTTGTTGACACTGCTTCCTTGTTCACCTAAAGACGAGCTACAAACAAATCCAAATATAAGTTCAGAGGTTTACAGATGAAGTTGTTAAAAATCGCACATATATTGAATTTCAGCTCGAGAAATATTGTCATGAAAGCCCGCCAATGGGCCCCTCAGTAGACACAGACAAATCGTTCCGAGGTCTAACATGCGTGTAAAGCCTCGGTGACATAACGTAACGCAACGTAGAGAAACCCAACGCAACTTTAAGTAAAATTACTCAACATCACGAAACGTAACGTAACGAAGAGCACCGGACGACTTATCACCTTCAAAACAGCCTAGGTACATATACGTTGTCAGTCCAGGGCCAAACTGAGAAAAGTACATTACACTCTTGTGAACATTACGCGTTAAATAACTAAATTAACTTGTTTTACCTTGGCTGAGAAGTTTTCATTAAGACATCAATACTGTGTGATATCATTAAACAGCTCTGTTGAAGACTGACAGAGAAACTTGTCAAGGAATTATAATTGATCAGCTTTAAGTTAACCTTTTTCAGGAAAAAAAAATGCAGAGTATAAAAACAGAAAATCACAGACATTCTACCCGTACCCTGATAAAGAGGGAGCCACAGCAGGTACTCAGCGCACTGACCACTCTGCCACACTGCTTCTCACTTATGCTAGGGTTTGCACGCAGCTGTAAAATTCACGATTTTTCGGGTGCCCGCGAGCTAAGGCCCAAGGAACTGGCAAAAAGTGTTCGTTTATAAAAAGGTTTCGTTATATTGAAACTCTTTCAGGGGCGAAGAATATGGTTCCTTATACCAAGGACTTCGTTGTACTCAGATTTAGGGCTTGGAATCAAACATGGAGCAAGAATCACAGCATTTTGAACAAAAACTGAATAAAAGGATACGCTTCGATATTCTGCAGACTGACCGGATCCGCATTAAACGAGGAGCGGTACAATTGTCCATATTTTTCCCCCAAACAGCGGAACAGTTTGCTGCATTCGGTCATCTTAAAAAGCAATATCAGTAAAGTTATTCTGACATATACGAGGTGGGCATAAAGTCACATGATCATGTCCCCGGCTTTATTTATTATGAGCGGTTTGGTCTTGAAATTTAGTTCTTGATGTGTCCTGTCACATAAGTGAACAGCAATGACACTGACCATAATGTTTTGTTTAGCACAGACTGCGAGGATGATATTATAATGAGCCTGCGAGCAATGCTAAGGGAGTTATCAACGAATTTCTGTTTCCTTCCACCCATAAGGCAGATTTACAAATAACAACGCGACGGCAAATGATGTGATATTTCGATAGCAACTGGCCCGTGTCATAGGAAAGATTTTGCTCACACCCAGGTAACCTTACCGCCTATGAATGCTTGACTGAGCTAGACATGCATTACACTACACGCGCCTCAACTAAAAATCAACGCTTTTTCAACTACATGTAACTCTTCAATTAGACTTACTTGAGCGGCAAAATGGCTCAACCGTTGAACGTCTTGACCAGTTGCCATGGCAACAGCAGTAGCAATAGCAGGGGGAGGACAGGATTTCACGGTTGCACAAGATGCAAGAAGCCGACTATGAGCTTGGAACATCTCAGCTCTCAGGCTTGCATACGTACACTGGAAAGACAGCTGATGGTTTGACGACTGCACAGATGCCTAAAAACAAAGGGTACAATGTGACGGGCAAATAATGCACAGTATTACTTAACTATTCATTCTCTAAGACTGACCAGCATCCAAGCTGTTCCTGATGTCTGACTGGGAACTGAATCAGCCGACTTCAGTTCCGGTTTCGCTACTTGTCTAGTTCGCTACGTTCGAGTTCGCTACATGTTCGCTACTAACATGCCGAATTCGCTACTTACTTTATTCTGTCATCCTACTACCACGATCTTGTAGAACGAACAACTTGTTTTAAAAGAGAAATTAAAACAGTGAATTAACAGAGGCAGCGAATTCAGCATGTTAGTGGTGAACATGTAGCGAACTCGAACGCAAACCGCGTAAACCGCCCAACGAAAACATCATCCTTCGACCACCGGGAGTTGACGGTACATTCGCGGAGATCTCCTCCTACACATCACGATTCGCTATCGCCGCATTCAGGTCTCTAGTATCAAATTCTGAATCTCATACAACAATCTAAAACACGGTGAAGATACTTATCATAGAAGTTGTTTTATTTCAGCTTGGATTCCATATGTGCAGTGCATTCCCTTTTGTAGACTCAGAGAACGACAAGTCAACAAGGGGAGAATCGAATAAGGCGCCTAAGTTACCGTTTCCTCCTTTCTACCCTGCGAACAGAGGCCCTTTGATCTTGTCTAGGAAGATCGAAGGGCCTCTGCTCGCAGAGTACGTCCTTTCACGATTCTTCCACTTTCCTGCTCGAGTTTTCTCCCACTTTGTGGTCCAACAAGAAATAGATGCACGGCAAAGTATATTTCTCTCTTAGCAAACCAGGAGCAAGGGATGGCGCAGTCGTGAGGGCACACGCCTTCCACCAATGTGGCCCGGGTTCAAATCCCGGCGACAACGCCTTTTGTCAATTGTGCCTTGAGTTGTTTGCTGGTTCGCTACCTTGCTCCGCGAAGCTTTTTTCTGGGTACTAGGGTTTTCCTATCTTCTCAAAAACCAACACTTTCCAATTCGACCAGGAATGGTGAACGAAGAACCTCTACGTGGATATGCTACCTTTAAATCGTTATTTATTAATTTATTTTACATTAAAGGGGCACCTTCAACCAGTGTGCATTACGTTCGTGCACTTCACCGACCAACGCAGGACCAGAGTTTCTTTGGAAAATAAGCCCTTTACATTCTATTTTCAATTTTTGAGGATGATGTAATAGTACAGACCTTGAGTGTTGTAATCCCTTTCTGGTATTTAGCGCCAGCATCAGATATTTGCTTGGACAGAGCTAGCTGAGAATCACATTCACCTTTCAACAAACTCTCTGCTTCACAGAAGAACTTCAAGGCATTAAGCCAGAAGTAAAAATGTTCAGAAGCAACCTGTAGATCGAATAAAATATTTTAATCTCGTTTGTCAAACTGCTACTTTTCCCCCTACGAAATATACAAACCCAAGAGAGGGTATCCGGTCACCTCGCCACCAAGAAATATATATCTTCATACTTATCGAAAGGACAGGTCTCTAAAAAGAATTCTTTCACTTTAAATTTACAATGAAATTTAAGAAGGTAAGGTTCAATTGACAATATTAACCAACTTTCATAAAAAAAGGCTGTTGGATTTTACACAAGTCGCACCTCTCGAGCGATGCAAATAAGCCGTATTAAGATATTAAAAAGTCGCAATTATTCACAAAAAATAAAACTAAAGATGAGAGGTTTGACGCAAGGTTTCAATTAAAATTATTTGGGCTTGAGTAAGAAGTAACAATCCAAGGTAAGTAAACAGTGTCAATTATTGCAGAGTTATGTAGTGGCGAGCAGACCTCTTAGTGGCGATTTCGTTGGTGGAGAGACGACATCAAATTCCAGAGAGCTATCTTTTTACGATAGACTGAAAAACAGTCGGTTTCTGTCTCTTAAAAATCACAACCTCTGCTTCATATGCCAGGCTTCGAATATAATTTTTGGGATAAAAAATTCGGGACTTTTTTGAGACATTTTTCCAAAACAATAATTTCTTTCTCTTGACACAAGGTTATCAAATAAGCGATCAAATAGAAGCCTCGACCGACACAGGAATCGAGCTTTTCTGAGGGTGCACTAGCCTGCGGACACAGACATATTTCCGGTCGTCGCTTCTTTCCATATTAACGAAGAATTGAAAACCGGAAAAAGTTTGTTTCTTTACAGCCGCCCTCTCGCAGGCTTTCATAAACACTAAACATACCTTAGAGGAAAGGGTTTCAAAAATTTTTGCTGCGAGGCTATGAAATCCCTGAAAAGAAAGACAAAAAATGGTTGTCAATAAGAACCAAAAAATGACAAAGTCAAGTAGACAGTAGCACCCTCAGTTCTAAATAAAAAGGCTAACCCTTCTTCATACAGCAATAATATTATTGAAGAGGGTAGTCAATAGTAAAAAAATTCTCAAGTAGGGCTTTGGGTCAAACTGTCTGTCTGTTCATTGTGATCATTGAATACAACGGACAGACACTGCATGTACATGTATTTTTACTCTAGTTTTTGCAACAAACTTCGCAAAACGATTTGCGCTTCCAAGCTGTTATTTTTTCTTGCAATCCTTTCCTGATGCTCTCTTTTGCTTCTCTGACAAGTAAAGCTAGCAAAGCGATTTACATTTGTTCCTAGTGATCAGTGGTGAAAGCATTAAAATAATGTTCGCCACACATGGTTACATTGCCCTAAGTTTATTTCCCTCTAAAAAAGTGTTCACTAGACATAAACCAAGCAAACAGGATTCATTTCAAAATTTTTGGACAATAACTGGAATCGCTGAAACTATTTTTAACGCTTCATCCATATAATAAAGAGTTAAAAACCTGTCTTGTGGCTTGCTTTCCAACTCTAAATATGGTCCAGTATCTTGAGGATGTTACTAATCTCTCCAGCTGCTCTAATATCATATCGTCTAATTTTAATCTTCCTTCTTCATCCTGTGACACACCTTGATATGACTGGAAAATCAAAGTTGCCATGCCAACCTAAAATAACAAGAATTATTAAGAGCTAAATCATTGGATAATGCAATTCTAGAGCTCTGATTGGCTTAGCGATCATCGTATATGAGCCATTATACCATCAGCTCTCCAAATATTGTAACGGTACACATCTGCTCAAAATTAGAAACAAGCTGAAAATCGGTTGTTTTTACAAATAAAGTTGGGAAGCATTCTCGATATTTTTTGGGCGTTTTTAATAAAACAGTTATTCTACTCACGCTTGTTGGATATGAGATGATTATAGCCATCTCATATCCAATGCACACTCATGGGATAATTGTTAAATATACAGTTAAAATAAAAAAAGATTATAGTTTCGGGTCCATTTACAGTGAAAACTCCATAGTACAGACACCAGAGGAACAGAGCCAAGTACATACATACATACCACTAAATCTTTTGATTCCTGGCTGTTGTCATCAGCACCAACCACAACTTTGGCAAAATGAGATACAATTTCATTTCTTAAAGGAGCCACAACATGTGGCATCTGTGTTGCCATAGTAACCATTGTACGGCAAAGTGCAAGGGCTACTGCACCTAAGAGAAAAAACAGCTATTATGGCCATGAAGTTTTTGATGCCAGCAATATGGATTGAATATAGCCTTTGCAATTACTTGCACAATTAATTAAAACATAATATGTACTGCAATTTTCCATGGCACATGATCAAATTAATGCACTTTATTAAAATGAGTAATTTAACTTCTCAGAAACTTAGGGTGCACTTTCTTTAGCAATGTCTAACTTACTGAAGAAAATCTATGCACTTCAAGATTTGTCTCTAAGTGGGTCTTTTAAAGCTAGTAAACATTTTTCCATCAGGAGCTATCTGCCTTTTTGACACTTTTCTAAGAAAGCAATTGCTTGAATAAACATAGTTTATGACATGGGTAGTATACAGCTATTTTGAGAAAGGTTATCAAAAAATGTGCACGTGACAATCCTGAAAGGTAACATGGGATATGATCAATACACTGTTCCTGACACAATAGCCGTCGAACCTACTTTTGTTGCTTTCCTTTCACACTCGCAAACATATGTCCATGACCTGTCGTACCCTTCTTTCAAATTTCTTTGAACAACAGTGAACTCAAAACCACCCACAATACCTTTCAGGGATTGTTGAATGCACTTGTTCTGACAAACTTTCTCAAAACAGCTGTATATTTTCTCTGTTTACCTGATGATGATGGCAAGAGACTGGCTAAACTTTCCATTAGAGATGAGCCTGCTTGAGGATAGCTATCCACCAAATTATTCATTGACAACAAGCATACCTAACCGACAACAGAAAAAATAATAATCATATACAGCATTCAGTCAGGAAAACCTCACCTGAAACATTCCTTGTTAAGATACCATGCCTTTGTGGACATTTTTATTCAGTCTCAAGATTTTTTTTCCTGAAGTTCCATTTAAGGATTCTTACATGCATCAATACATGCTGATAAATAAAAGAACATAAAAGAAAAAC